AGAATTTGCTCGCTACAGCCCGCGATCATTCGATGCTCCGCAGTGGGTTCATCTTCCAGCAGGATGGGGACCCAAAGCATACTTCAGCCAAAGCCTGGAATTGGTTTCAAGATCATCGAGTCAATGTATTAGCATGGCCAGCTCAGTCACCCGACCTCAATCCTATCGAGCATTTGTGGGATCATGTCAAGCGTCAACTCAATGCTTATGAGGACCATCCAACAAGCATACACGAGCTTGAGCGGAGAATCGAAGTTGAATGGAATAAGATCGATCCCGAAGTATGTAGAAATCTGGTATTGAGCATGCCAAGGAGGATTAGGGCTGTGATTCGGGCAAGAGGAGGTAATACAAAGTATTAGTATAATAACTGTTCACGGTCTGCTCCCCGCTCTCTTGTCGCCTCTCTCGTCTTTGTTACCCATGGCTATGCTAACTGCCCTTACAAATCGTTAATTCGATAGTAATCTTGAATATATGCGTCTAATTTTCTTTTCTAAGTACATGGTTAACTACCTATTGAGCTACTTAGTGAAAAAGGTACGGTGCGTGAACAGTTGTTTTGCCCACTGTACCACACTTGTCGACTCTTGTTCCAGCGACAGCAAGCTTTAGTTTGGCCTTCCCATCTTTATTCATTCGGCGATTGATGACTTCTACAAGTGCGATGGAGACGTTAAAGATTCGCTCTCCGTCTGTCGACTGAGTTGAAGGTCCTGCCGGGCCACTAAACTCTTCGAGTAATAACAAGTCCTGATACCATGTTATTCAAGGATAACACCCAAGTTAATGAGATTACCTCGTACGTGGCCGAATCCGGGGCAGCCGCAATTCTTGCTTGAAATTGTCCCCAGTCTGTATCGTCATAAGCTGGTGGCGCCGACGAATCCAGCGAGCCGGCGGGTATACCATTTGCTCTATTAGGTGTTTCGCAATTCGTAAGGCATTGAGGTGGAATATCAGTCCCCGTCGGAAAATAGCGCGAGGACACGGTTATACTGGGTTGGTCGGCGGGTATACTGACTAGTGTCGTGCCTATTATGTCATTATCTGAAGACTTGGCCCTCCTGAAATCGATGCGGTCGCCATTGAACTTGGGCGAGCTTGGTCCTGGGGATGTTTTTGGAGAGGATGTTAGACTGGTATATGCGTCACGCTGACGATTTCGTTTTGATTCAGGAAGATACGAGAAAGTTTGGATCAATTTACGTATGTCCTCATTCTCGAAAGCTGTATCGAATTTTCCGGAAGGTTGCGCTTTGTTGTGCGGAACCACTGACTAGGATCGTGAGGTGTGGAAATCGAAAAGTGTAGCAGACGCCTCACTAGGTTTGACACCAGGTGTTGACTGCTTTTCCCATGGCTTATATGTTTTTTCCATCACGCAAAGTTAGGATGCAAATATTAGTCGAGTTTCCCCTAAAAGGGTAATG